CCTGAGGGGAGCCTGGACAGTTGGCCTCAGTGTCCTCCATCCAGTCCTGGTGGGTTAGCTTGTGGCTGCTCTCTAGGCTACTCTGTCAGGAGGTGTGGCTCAGGGGTCAGCATGGTACCTGGCCTCTGTTTCCTCCTCTCCAAATGCTGCTGCTGCTTCTTTGAAGAAGTGGCAGGGAAACCACCTCTATCTTGGCAAAGACAAGGGAAACATCTGGGCCCATAACTGACACCCCCAACAGCATCAAACCCCAATAAACCATGATTAGTACAGCTAATCCTTCTGAAGATTCCCTGGTTCTGGCCCCACTACTTTTTGTGGAGATATGACAGCTGTTAAGTAGCTCATGTTATCTGATATTCCCATGAACCATGACAATGAGAGTTATGCTATGCTGAATGCCCCACATTCTCTTGGAAAGATATATCCCCAACTGTAGTAGGGTCATTTTTAAACTAAGAAGTGAAATGAGTTGAACCAGTCAGTAGGCTTGGATCAGAAGGTTTAAATTTAGACCAGTTTGCCCAGCAGGCCCAAATTTGGACCAACCGAAAAGCCTGATTCAGACCAATCTTTAGGCATGCAGCTGCTAGGAAGTAGCATTCCCCTTATACTTCCTGAGTTGATCTGGGAGGGTCCCTTCTGGGATACTGACTTCTTTGTACTGCAGCACAAATCCTGTCCAAATAAGGCTGGCTCAGACAGTTCTGTAAATCTTTTTGGGGGATTTATTTCTTAGGTAGTGTGGGCTCAGTAGGCACTGTGTAACCCAAATAGTTTGAACAAAGGGGTGATTTAAAAGAAAGAGCTATAAACATTGATGAGTTGAGAGACCAGCAGCCAACAAAGATCAGTGGCAGAGAGCAGCAACCTATTGTGTCACCCAATGGTGTCTAGCACAAACTGGCCTCCAACAGCAGCATCTCATAGAGATGATTGGTTATGTCTGGCACAAGCCAGTGTCAAGCAATGGCTGGTAATGGCAGATACCAGCATCCATCCAGCAGAGTCTACGGACAGTGTCTTGCACAAATTAGCATTGAAGAGCAGCGGCTAGCAGAGGTCAGCAATCAGCAGTGTTCACTAACACCATGAGGGCTGCTAGAAGAGCCGCACTTTGCCAATTCATCATTTCTATCCAGATTGAGCAAAGGAACCCTCAGCTGATTGGTGACAGTGACATTCCAGGTCTCTGCTCATTTTTCTTTATTATTTCTTCTTTTTTTAAAAAATATTTTTTCTTTCCGTTGTTCACATGGGATAATCTCAATTATTCTAGTTTCAAGGTCCCTAATTCTTTCTCTTGCCTGCTGAAATCAGCTGTTGGACTCCTCTAATGAGGTTTTTGTTTCAGTTGTTTTATTTTTTGGTCCTTTTAAAAGATAATTTCCTTTATTGCTGTTCTCTGTTTAATGAGAATCATTGCCATACTCTCCCTTAGTTCTTTTGACATGGTTTTCTTTAGTAATTTGAACATACCTTAAACAGCTACTATAAAGTCTCTGGCTAGTAAGTCCAGTATCTGGGTATCCTGCGGAACAGAAACAACGACTGATGCTTTTTTATGTTTTTGAGCCATACATTTTTGTTTCTTTGAACGTACTAGTTTTTTTGTTGTTGTTGTTGTTGTTGTTGGTGGTGGTGGTGTTGAAAACTGGAGTTTTAAATAATGGGATATGACACTTCAGGCCCCCACACTCCATTGTTTATGGGTGCCTTGGTGTTGTCACTGCTTGTTAGGGACCTGACACCGCCATCACAGGCTGCATTTTCCTGGTGCTTCTTGGCTCTTAAAATGACTTCATGCTCTTATCTTTAGTTTCCCTCCCCGCAAAGCCACAGAGGTTCCAAGAAGTCAAACCTAAATTTCTGCAGGACTGAGCCCATAAAAGACAACCTGGCCTGTGATAGGTTAAAAGTAGCTCACTCCTCATAAATAAACAATAGCCCAGCCCAAAACCAATAAAGGGACCTTCCTTTCTTTGTTCTTCTCTCCTTTCTCTCTCTTTCTCTCTCTTCCCTCTCTCCTCTCTCCTTAACCTGCCTTCTCTAATAAAATCTCCTGTTGGACCTCTCAGTGTGTGGCCTAGTTGTTGAGCATCACTGTGCTTCTGCACTGCTTGTTCGCCCAACCGCTTTCCTGAACTGACTTTCCAAGGTCATTGTTATACATGGTTACTGAAGTGTCTGCTCAGTTAATATCATGGTCACCTAAGGGTGACACAGGAACATCTTTAAATGCTCCAAATGAATAAGTCTCTGAGTCTTTGCTGAGGGTCATTGTGTGATGTAAGGCCATGCCTTCATCACCCAGTCAGATGGCTGGCAGTTTGGCCCTAACCTCCTTCCTCCTTGTTTAGAGCCAGTGGTTTTCTAGAGAGAAGAGTCTAGGGCCTGGTCCTTTGTTTGCTAACTGTGTACACCACTCTGTGCAGTTACATGGATGGGACCCTTCACTTGATTTTCTAGACTTTTAGAGCTATTTGAGCCCTTTTCAAAGGCTGTTTACATCTCATTCCCTAGCTGCTGGTTTCGAGTCTTTTTGACTAGTTTGCTGTTTCCCCAAGGGTTATTTCTGCCTCAATCAACTGCAATGTCAAACAATTGTTGTTGATTGTTTTTGAGAAATGCCCCCCAGAGAAAAACTTATCTACCTTGGGGAGAGACTCTGAATCAAGGAAATAAAAACAATTTTGTGAGAGCAGAAATTCCAGATAGTGATAGTTCTCTGAGATGGTGTTTAACAGAGCTACAGTGTCTATGAGGTTGCTGGCTTCATCATTTCTTTTATGGAGGGGAGGATTTTGGGAAGCTTCTTATTCTGGCAGTCCCATGACCTCATTGCTGCTTTTCCTTTTTTTGGAACATAATTTATTTATTGAGAAGCCCGTGTTATTTGGCCCCCAGAGGTTCTCAGGCGTGGATTTTGTAATTGCATTTCCGGTATAGTTCAATATGGCCCTTGGCTGGAGTGGTGTTCCATTTATGGATGGCACAATGTTTGAATGTTGAGGCTCTTTTGGTCTGTTTTCTGTTACTGTACTAGAATACCCACATTTAGAAATAAAAAATATTTACTTTCAGTGTACATCTCTGGAGAGCCAAGAGCACGACAGTGGCAAACCAAATTGAAACATGAATTTTGGCAGGGAAGAAACATATCCATACCCTGGCAGAGGCCAATCTATAATACATTAGAATATATTTTAATTGTTTAAAAACTCATCAATAATAAGCAATTCAATTATAAAATGACACAGATATTTCACCAAAGATATTAATTTCTTTTTGAGCAGGTGCAAAGTATATTTATGTTATAAAACTAAAAATAGGGGCAGATATCTCATTCCATCAATCCTAGGCTCTCTTAGTTGGCTGTTAGACAAGAAAAAACCCAAGAAGTTAGTTTGTTGAACCTAAAGATATTAGGATCCAAATATCTATAACTATAATAACCTTGGTAATATTCCAGAACATTAATTGCCTGTAAATGTTGACTTCGTATCCATAATAATTGTAAAAGCTATTCAAATAGTGCCTATTTTATGTTCAGCACTATTTTAACTATTTTATTTTATTGTATATTTTTCATTTGCTTGAACTTGGTCTATCATAAAGTGCAGATACAAATATGTACACACATACACACATAGTTGCCCCTCCTGTCTTATTTATTTGAAAGTATCAGCCATAGTGTGTTCAGTCATTTCTAAGTCCTTATTCTGTTTTTAAAGTCTGCGCAAAGATCTATGATGGCCAAGATGACATTCTGCTGTATGATAGGTGTTGAAGAGATGGTGTTAGACTGTGTCCACAGGGTATATATACTAAGGAAACAGACATGGCTAACTGAGCCACTTTATACAGTTGCCCATGCATATCAGGTGGTACCACTGGGATGGTACCTGATGTGTGTGTTTACATTCATGTTCAGATTGACTAGTTCATGCTAATCATCTTTCCATGATTGTTGAGCCACCTCATGAGTAGATTCTTGCATGAACCTACATTTCCATCTCTCTGGGATAAAAATACAACAGTGCTGTCACTGGGTCATATTGTCATTGCATGTTTAATTTTGTAAGACGCTGCCAAATGTTTTCCATGGTGCCTGTTCCATTACACATTCTCACCAGCACTTGGTGTTGTCATAAATTTTTACTGTAGCAATTCTGAGTTATGTAGTGCTATGTCATTGTGGCTTTAATTTGCATTTCCCTAATGTCTAGTGATGTGTCATATCTGCTTATGGGGTTAATTTGTCATCTGTATAATATCTTTGGTGAAATATCTGTTTGTGTCACTTTCTAATTGAATTGCTTATTATTGATGAATTTTGACACAGTAGAAATATATTTTAATTTCTAGAATAGAAAACTATTTCTAGAAAAGAAAAATATATTTTAAACATGCAATATATTCTAATGTGCAATGTAATCTAACTATGCAATTACCATATGATTTTTTAAAAAGTTTATAGTTTTGAGTTCTACATTAAAGTGTAATCCATGATCCATTTTGAAGTAGCATCTGTATAAAGTGTGAGGCTTAGGCTGGTGCTCAGTGTTTTCATGGTGGGTCCAGCACTGTTTGTTGTAAAGTGTTCTTCCTGCATTGATTTACTAGAGTGAAATGGTGGTCTTAGCCACACCCACCTGGAAGACTTTCATTTAGTTTTTTTTTCTAGTCTTAGTGTGCTCAGAGCAACTACACATTCTATATTTTCAATTGGGATTTGGAGATTTTTCTTTCTGAGAATCAGTCTTGTCCATCTCCCTTATTTTTACTTTCTAGCCTTTCATGGTGGTTATAGAAAAGTGTGGCCTTAGGGGAAAATTTACATCTCATGCAAAGTTTAAGAGGAGGAAGAGGAGGAAAAGAAAAGAAAAAAGAAAATAGCCTGGACTTGAGCTTCTAATCTGTGGCTTAAAAAAAAACAAACCAATTTAATTGATACACAGTAGCTGTTCACACATGTGGGTACAGTGTGACTTGGACACATGTATACAAGGTGCAGTGACCGCATCAAGGAAAGGAGCACACCCATCACCTCGAACTTCACCTGGTCGCCCACCTGCCATCCTGCATGGCCCTGTGACACACAACAGCTCGAGTCAGGTATCCTGAGGGCTTCTGTGGCCACTGCCCTCCTGCCCCAGATAGAGAGGGAAGACCCAGCTGGGCTCTCTCTGTTCCTGAGTTCCTGAGCAGCTGATGAGCGGAGAGCTTGGCTTGGCACCTGTGGAGAGATGGGGCTTCTGTGGCAGGCTTCTCCCCTCCCCCGCAACACAGCACATCCACCCTTATGTGCTCCGGGTGTAGGAAAAGCTCAGTGCTATCATCAGATTAGAAAAAAGCCTGCCTGGCTGGCCTCTTCCTGCTGCCACCAGCTCCTGGGCTCCAAGATTAGTGGGGGCGGCTTTGTCAGGGAAGGGTTGGGGTTGACATGGAAATGGACACTGCTTGGAAGAAAGGGAAGACAAGGCCGTGCTCCTGCCCTCCTCCCTGAGCTTCTCAATGGTCTGCCCTCTCCAGACCAGCTGTTCTTGCTCCTGGGGACTCTCGATGGTCCCTGGGTAGGCGCTGGTTCCAGTGTACAGTGACTGAGGCAGTGGAGGTGGAAGGTATGCTTTGTGTGTTGGAGGCAAGATGGTTGTTTACCAGAGTTCACAGGCAGGGGAGAGAGCAGGGAGCAGACAGCCAGCACAGGAGGAACTCTTCTGCTTGGCTCACTTGGTCCAGCATTTGAGTTTTCACCTGCCCTTCACTGGAGGTGATTTATCTGTTTATTCCCTCACTCCCAGAGAACCTGTCACCAGCCCCAGCAGCCCTCCAGCGGACGCTGATTTCACGCTTCGGTGTGTCCCTCCCTGAGGACATGGTGATGACATGTAGCACCATGCGTGGATAGAGTGGTGAGTGCTGGCCTCACTGTGTGCCCACGCAGTGACAGTGCAGGGCTCTGCCACATATCTGTCATTGCAGGAACAAGCTCGGCCTCAGTGACGCTGGCCAGCGCCCTGCAGGTCAGAGGCAAATCTCTGTCGGAGGAGGAAATCTGGTCCCTCTTGTCGCTAGCTGTGGAGAGGCTCCTGGAGGACCTCAGCAATGGTAAGAGAATATGCAGACAGCTGAGTCCCTTCTCCTGTGGTCACTCTGGCGGCTACTTCTCTGTTGTGGTTGGTCCCTGTGTTAGAAGGAGCAGGCGAGGGCATCCCCAAGTAGCTGCTCTGGGAAGCCGACCTGTCGCTGAGACCTAGCCACACGGCAGTGCTGAGAGACCTGCTCTGGATTGTGTGAGCTCAGGGCAAGACCACAGCAATACAGGGCCCTCTGACAGATGGGCCACCTGGGCATGACTGGAGATGGAGGCAGGGGACAGTCACCAGGGACACTCCGCATCTGTGTGTCAAATGCTGAGCTCATCTGTGCCCTATCAAGGACAAAACCCAGGGGAGGTCAGTGTAATTATTAAATTGCCATATAAGACAGAAAGATACAAGAAAAGTTCAGTGAGGGACAGGCATTGAAAGGAAGCCCTCCCAGGTTGGGGTTTGGGGATGAGTGTGCAAAGGGAGTATGAGTGGGTGACCTATGGCCCCAGTGAACAAGGCAGTATGGGCAGATGAGCTGGGCAGACCGGGACACCAGCACCTGATCACACAGCCAGACTCTGCCTTACCTCCTGGTCTAGAGTCCAGGGTACAACGCCACCCACTGGGGGCCTCTGGTCCATACCGCTGACTTCCTGACACATCAGGGGAGCCCTTCCCTTCCTGCTGCGACATCACCTCAGCGCCCTCTGCCGGGAAAACTGCGCATTGTGCTCTGCGCCGCAGGGATGTTAAAGGAGCAGGAGCTGGAGAGTTGAATCCCTGAGGCATTAATAAAATTGGTGGCTGAAACCAACCCTGAGAACCCACACTCAGGGGTCAGCTGGTAAGTCGCACATGGCCGGCAGGTCAGCATGTGCAGAGAAGGCTCTTGTGTGTGAAATCACACATGTCATTGGGTCCCAGCGGGGGCTGACAACAGTAGGCCACGCACCTGTACCTTGTGCCTTGTGTCTCCACCTGCTCCCCTGGTCCTCACTCCCTCTTCCCTGCCTGGGAGCTTCTGAGAATGGCGATAGAGCTCCCAGTCCTGCTGCTTGGGGCCCTGGTCTGGCTGCTGAGAACTCAGGCTTGGGCCAATTCCCAGGTGGCTTTGTCCTCTCTTTACCTTTTATCTTGAGATGCTAAACTACCAATGGATGCAGGTGCTAAAGTCCTGGCCATGGCCACAGCTGCCTGTTGTCATCTCTGTTCCTGAGCCTCAGGGCACATTCATTCTTCTCTGTGTCTCTCCTGACCTGCTCGTGGTCAGGCACAGCCCCAAGCTGGCCCTCTGGGGCAGCCCTCTCTCTATATCCTGTCACTGCCTTGGTTGCAGACTCCTCGGACTATGTGGTTTGCCCCTGGTCAGCCCTTCTTTCTGTGGCCGGAAGTCTTTCTTTCCAAGACCACGTTTCTCACGTAGAGGCTGCTCCTTTCAAGGCCCCCGAGCTGCTACAGGGACAGAGCAAGGATGAGCGGCCAGATGCATCGCAGGTAAGATGCAGGTGTTCTGGGGAGATGGGGCCCCCAGTGCCCACCCAGCCTCAGGTGCCTGGTTTTCACATCAGAGGCAGAGTGGGATTAAGAATGTTCCCAGCTCTGGAGAAGGGTGGATCATTTCTGCACCTTCAGAGTGGGCTAGTTGATCAGGCTGTTACCAACACTCAAACAGAAGCATTAAAAAAGCTGGGTAATAGCCTAGGGGTTGGTACCATTGCAGCACAAAGCAAGAGCCCCAGGACCCAACAGGCCCTTGGCATGGAAGGGTGGAGCTAATTACAGCAAGACTGAGTCATATTGTTGCCATTGGTCATAAAATAGAACCACAGTGAATGCTCAGTTGAAGTAGATATGAGACAAGACAGCATTAACCTGAAATGGGTATCGATGCTTGTTTAATGACTTGAAAAGAAATTCAGTATTGCATGTTACAATGCTAGAGTTTGGTCACAGCTCAGTAATATATCAAGGATCCAGGCTAGACATTTCCACTCTACCTTCCTTATATGTGGCTTTTGTCCATATGTTCTTTCCTCATGGTCACAGGATGGCTGCTTTGACTCCATGTATCACAGGACAGAAAGGATAGAACCAGTCATGTGTGTTACTTTTGTCAGTAAAGCGCCAACAGACTTTCCTTCTTACATCTTTTAACAACATTGGGTGTCACAGTTACTGCTAAGCAGCAAACTTTCGGCTTCCTAGGCTCTAGTGCAGGAGGCAGCAAAGTCTAAGGGAGGTGTGGGTGGTGTCAGACTGGTTGGATGTGGCAGTTATGCTGTGCTGCTTGCAGGACTGCAGAGTAGCAGAGGCAACTGCCATCTAACTGCACATTTCTCCTGGGCAGATGCATGTCTTTTCCCTAGGGATGACCCTCTACTGGGCTGCAGGATTCCACGTCCCGCCAAGCCAGGTCTGTAGACGAGGACACCAGGTCATGACTCGGTTTAGTGACACAAGTCAGAACTGGAGGGTGACCGAAGAGTCACTTAGCTTTGCTCAGAGGGAGCAGCAGGCGAGAGAATTTTATAGACATTAAAGATACTGTTATTTACTTATTACTTATTTATTTGTGGAAAGGCCTTTAAAGCAGCCTCTCCTGAAGGCAGGAGCTTCCTGGGAAAGGGGGTTCTGTGGTCATCACGTGTGGGAGGATGCTCCCTGCCAAACCTCCCTTTCAGAGACTTTTCAGAGTAGTTTTTAGAAGTCTACAAGAGGGCTTCAAGCATAGAAAGCTAAGTTTTGGTTAACACAGCATTTTGCACAATTCCAGACTATTTGTGTGTGTGGGGGGTAGATTTTCCTCTGATACTGGAAACATTTCTTAGAGGCTAGCGTACCGGAGGACACGCTGGAGAACCCAGCCCAGCTGCCAAGACCCTCTCATCCTCCCTTTCTTCTTCTTCCCTCCCTCCTTCCCTCTTTCCCTTCTTTCTTCTCTCCAGGCTCTCTCCAAGCCAACACCCCAGTGCTTTCTGAAGGCTCCCCCTTTTTTTTTTAAACAGAATCTCACTGTGTAGTTCAGGCTGGCCTTGAACTCACTATGGAGTCCAGGCTGGCCTCAAACTCACAGTGATCCTCCTGCCTCAGCCTCCTGAGTGGTGGGATTCTAGGCTTGTGTCACTATGCCCAGTTTTGCACCCTCTTTCTCACACAAAGACCCATTCAAAATGCTCGACACCTGCATCCCTATGCTCCCTGCTGCCCTCAGGGTGGCACTCCAGGCCTCAGCCAAGCCCTCTTGGAGCCCAGAACTGACTCTTCCTGTCTGGCTTCTCTCTGGTTCTCTGTTGTCCTCCTGGCTTCATGGGCACATGTCCCCTGTGCTCTATGCTTGTTCAGCTACCACCATCCTGAAACTCTGCATCATCTAGACCCAGGGATCCCACATAGTCTTTTTGTCTCAGGCGGTGGTCCTGCACCTGCTCATTTTCCACCTCAGCCTTTGCACGTGCTGCTGACTCGCCTAGCTCCTCCCCCCTCCCCTCTTTCATTTTTGCTGGTCCTGTGCGTCCAGTCTCTCTAAGTGACCATCCTGACTTTCCCTTTAAGTGAAGGTCTTTCCTAGGGCTGTGACTGCCTTGGAGGCAGGGAGCACCTGGACCAGCCATGCAGGTGCAGGCTCCTGATACAGCTCTCTGAGAACCTGCAGGGCAGCCTTGTTGCACAGCAGCTTTCAGCATGGCCCAAGTGGGGGAAACAATCCCACCATCCTCATCCTCATCCTCAGTGTGGTTATTATTTGAGGTGCTGGGGACTGAGCCCAGGGCTTCATATACCTTAGGTGAGTGCTCTGTCCCTGAGTGCAACCCCAGCCCTAACAGTCTGGTTTTCACTCTGAATCTGAGACCTTAAATACATGCAGGAAGAATTTATAGGAGGTTCATCTTTCCTTCTGCTTGCCCCGTGTGTTTGATATCAATTTCAACAAAGACAGGGCACTTGCACTGCGCCAGATATCTCCAAAGTGAAAAGGCCCCAGTCTGGGCCCTGTGACTTAGAGCTTGCGGTCTAGGGCAAGACCCCATGAGACCCACCTGAGTCACTGGAGAAAAGGACGCCTGAGGGGAATGTAGGTGAAGACAGGGCTCTGGGGTGACACAGGGTGGGCACAGTGGAATCCACCTTGAACCTGCTCTTCATGGGCTCCCAAGCACAGGAGCTGAAGGGTGTCTGGAGAGCAGTGCACTGTCCCCACCCAGTGCAGGGACTGTGGCTCTCCCCTCCTGGCACAGTGACAGCCTGGTGTCCCTCTGAGCTTTCCAGTTGGGGCAGGCATGGGGTGGTACAGTGATAGTACCAGTTTCCTGAGCCATTGATAGCTTTTCAACCCCTGCAGCCCCTGCAGCTCTGCCAACCGCTGCATGCCCTGCTGCTGGCCATGTGTGAGGACCAGCCCTGCAGGCGGTGCCCACTGCACACCATCATGGAAGCCTGTCAGGCCCACCAGGAGGAGGTGGCTGCACACTCAGCTCTTGCCAGCCTCCACGTGAGGCGGCTGGTGGGCTTGGTTCTGGGAACCATCTCTGAGGTAAGGATAGAACCCAGCCTGAGTCAGTAGTCCCTGACGTCAGGCTGCCCATGAATGATGCCATTGCCTCTCAGGTGGAGGAAGATGACTGCACACAGCAGAGCAGAAGCTACCTTCTCAGGAAAAGGCTGCAGTCACAGAGTGGCGAGAGCCCCAAGGCCCGGGCCCTGGACTGTGTGCAGCCCTGCAGAGGTGAGACTGTGGGCATCTGGAGCTCCTCGAGAGAACACAGCTAATAAATCACAGTGTTACCCAAGCTCCTGGTTGCCTGTTTCATGGCAACCATGCTCTTTGCTCCCAGCGTGCTGTCTGGTTAGTTTCAGAGCAAAGTGCAGAGATGCAGAGCCCCCGGGAGTCCCACTGGAGCAGCTCAGCACATAGCCACTACCTCCTGTTTGAGAACAGGTGAGCCACAAGGTGACAGCTCAGGGATGTGGTACAGGTGCTAGCACTGCAGCCATGCATGTCCTGCTTCCTTGCTGGTGATGCTGAGAGGCCTCCTGTCCTCCATCAAATCCCGGCACTGCTGTATCAGCAAAGGAAGAAGAAAGGCTCACACAGGTGTTGAGGGGTCCTGTGTCCTCTGGAAACTGAGCCTTGCTTGGGTCAGGGACAAGCGCCAGGCCTCTGTGTGGATGCAGTTGTCCATGGCCACACTTAGTTGCATGGCAAATGGCCTGTGTGACTCGCTCACTGGGATCATGGTCTGTGGGTTTGGGGACCCGGCTCTGCTTTGTTCAGAGGCCTCTGCTGTCTGCTGGGTGCTGTCCTGCATGTGCAGCTGGCTGAGCTCAGCTGGTAGCTTAGTGTAAAGGAAGCCTGGCCCTTCCTTACCAGTGGCCATGCTGGGATTGCTGTCAGGATAGTGGCAGACTGGGGGTGGAGTGGGAGAGGGAGGGAAGAAGTGAAGGAAGTAGGGAGGCAGGGAGAGAGGAGAGAAAGGAGTTAAAGAGCTTGCAGAACGGATTCTCCACAACTTTTACCACACTTCTTTGGCCAAATCAGGCCTTGAAAAGTTCAGCTGAGTTGGTGTGCTGGTGCACATCTGTAATCCCAACACCTGGGAGGCTGAGGAAGGAGAATTGCTACTAGTTGGAGGCCAGCCTGTACTATATAGTGAGATACTGTCTTGAAAAACAACAACAACAACAACAACAATAAAAAGTTTGGCCCAGATTCTCGGAGTGGGGAGCTGGACTCCATTTTTGGGTGGTGGGAGCAAAGTCATACTGCAAGGGGCAGGGACAGGGAGAAGAATCGGTGTCTTTTCTGCAGTCAGTCTAACCCTGGTGCTTAGATCAAATCCCACCCAGGCCTGAATCTTCCTGGAGCAAAGACATTGTGCATTTGAGGTTTGAGGATTTACTGACTTCTGTATGGATTTGGGAAGGCCAGTGATGGTATCTTTTCTTTGGTTCAATGGGTCCATGCATGGTTGGTACATCTACATCTGGGCCTTGATTGGGTGTTAGAGCTCACCTTGCAGTCATTCTTCTGATGCTTACAACCAATAGAAACAGCCAATAAAGACAGTGCCCCTGGTACCCTAATTCAACACAGCCTCCAGCCCTTGATGGTGGGACTGTGCTGAGAGTATCACTAGGTGATTATGCAGATTGGTGCACAATCACCTAGGCCCCATGGCACGCTCATGCACACACACACACACACACACACACACGCACACATACTTACACATATGAATACATATGCTACAACCCAATGCTGCAAGGTTCACAGTGGGCAGGTCAGCCTCACATTAAGCACAAATTAAGAGAGAATGAGATTGATCAGGAGTTGCAGGAGGTACTACCACGAGCCAGGGCAGATTGTCACATAGGAAACCTTATAACTAGAAAGAAGCACTCAAAAACAATAATGAAAAATTGTGGCATTTTAAATACATAAACCAGTAACATCGCCAGGTCTGAATGTTGCCCATGACTATAACGATGCTGTATGGAATTGTGTGTGCTGTCTTTTTATGCACCTGGCAGCTCAGTGGGTTTGTGTACACCAGCATCCTCACAGAAAGAAGGTGTGTTGCTATTATGTTATGGCAACTTTGACCTCACCAAGTGATGGGGCTTTTTCAGCTCTATTATAGCACTGTGGGACCACTGTCCCACAAGCTGTCTGCTATTGACCAAAACATTGTTATGCAGTACATCACTGCAGGTTGGTTGTCAAAATGTTTTGAACAATATATAAAATTTGAAAGAAGGAAGTCAGAACCCCTGGTATTTTCATGATGTATTTAGAGGTTATTGGGGACCTGGGGCTGTAGCACCCACAGCATAAAGGCAGAGTAGTCCCAGGGTGGGGGAGAAGCAAACACCTAAAAGCGTCTGGCTTTAATTTCCTCTGACCTTGATTTCCCCATCTGAGAAGCAGGTGTGATCCTCCCTTGTGAATGAGGTGACTCCCTGGCTTGTGTGGGGTGGTGAGGGGGCATGAAAAGTGGGTGCATCCTGCCCTGATGAATGCCTGCATGCAGTGGCAGTCACAGGACAGGATGGGCATCATCACCTTGCTTCTCACCCTTCCTGGCCGTGGCCAGCGCTCTTGTAGGTACAGCACCCCTCAGGCAGCAGGACAGCCAGCAGCTCAGCTTGGGGTCTGTGTTCCTGGCAGAAGCAGAAAGATCACGGCCAGTGACTGCCCAGCAGAGGTTCCTGCAGAGGAAGGGAAAGGTGAGCAGAAAAGACTCGGGGACCTCTCAGAGGGGTTGGGCAGGACTGTGCTGTGCAGGCTGAAGGTGGGCAGGGTCCTTGGGGACCAGGATCCCAGGCCACCATCCATAGTATGGATAACTGCAAACCCAAAATGTGCAGTCCTGCTTAGTATTTGCCAAGTGTCCTCTCTGGGCTGGGCTCTGCAGTCCATGCCACAGCTAGGTGCACAGGGGAGCCAAGGAGTGCCACATGTGATGACAGTAACTTGGCAGAGTGCACGTGCCAAGCCAAAGATTTGGGACAGCTAGCCCTTCTCTAGGGCAGGGAGATGTCCCGTGTGGTTGGTAAAAATGGGTGGTAGGGTTAGGGGGGCAAGGTTAGGGCCCCATACTCCTCGTGGGCAGCCAAGCTTGGCAGGGGACTCTGTGCTACAGGCAGGATTGGGTGGGCCCAGGATACACTCTCTGCCGCAGGCCATGCCACCTGAAGTATGCGGAACAAAGCACCTTCTTCAGAACAGGACACTACCATTAGCTAATGCCCACAGTGACCACAGGGGATCGGTGTCCCTGAGCTGGGAAGATTTCTCCCTTCGCCCCGACTCCCAACTCACAGGGTGTTCACTGAGGAGCCGCCCCTTCCCCAGCCCTTCTCACCATCCAGGACCTTTGGTGACCTCAGACTGAAAGGACCTTCTGTGTCCTCAGAAGGTGTCTGTTTGTCTATCTGGCCATTGCAGGAAGGTTTGCTTAAAGCTTCTCAACAGATCAGAGCTAAGCAGAGCCCAGACAGCCTCAGGACATCCCTCTCCATGTTCCTACATGCCCCACCTTGTCCCCTACTGTCCTCAACATCAGTCTGGCCATCACAAGCCTGGGAGGAATTGCCAGGGATTCCTGGAGGCCTTGATATGCCAAGGCCCAGCCTGAGAAGTATGGAGGCATTGTGGGGTCAGGGACAGTAACACAGCACAGCTGCCACCTCCCCTCCAGTCTTTGTCCTCTCGGGAATTCAGGACACAGCTCAGCCCCTGACTGGGATTTTGGCTTCTTGGGGCAAGAGCCCTGCTGGGTGCCCACCCCCCCAGCGTCTGCTGGTTCTGTGACTCCACGAGCTTATTATTCTCTTGGTGCCTTGATTTCCTCAGCTGTAAAGTGAGCCGAGAACATGTGCCCCATGCAGTGGCTAAGGCTGAGGACCCATGAGGACGGGGACATTTTTTTCTCTCTTGGTCCCGAGTGTGATGCAGATGGGCTGAACTGTCACACCCAGGTCAGACGCTGCCCATGTGTACTGTTCAGTCTGTGCCCGAGGGAGCAAGCATTTCCCCATCTAACCCTAGAGCAGTTAGCAGTTTGGTTTTTATTCTTTTTATTGCACAAATATATATTTCTACACTTCGTTTTTACACTTGCAAAATCACACAACAGTGTGACTTAGGAACCGCTAAGCATGCAGCCCTCCCTGTTGTATTCCTCTCGGGAGCAGGGATCACCAGTCTCCTTCCCTGTCCCATACGGGACATTGACTTGGCCAGCCTTGGGCCATAGTGACTCCTGTCTCTTTCTGGCAATGGTGCAGAGGTTGGAGGAGGGGGAGGAAGGTGAGCTCCCAGGGGAAGCCCAACCCATGCCCGAGGTTCCTCTTCTCTCCAGTGAGTGACTGTTTCCCAGTTCTCCAGGCATGAGTTCCTCCTGCTGGCTGATGAGGCCCCTGTGATGCTGCACTGCCAGGATCAGTTGTGGTAAAGGTGGCTAGGGCTGGGAGGGCGTCTCCCAGCCAGAAACCCCAGAAAGCCCCATCTCCTATGGAGATGCCCTGGGTACTTGGATTGTGAGTGGGTGAGACATTTGTCTAGGCTAAGTTGCCCATACAGAGAGCTGCTGCCATGCCCACTCTGAGATGTTTTGGGGCACCTCTGCTCTGCAGCCCTCTGCAAGGGGTACAGTTGGGGGAGAATGTGGCTATGACTATGTTGGGTGGAGGACAACAGAGACTGCTATGTGGGGAGCTCAGGGGAAGGGGAGGTTGGCACAGGCTTGGGCACCCGGGAAACAGAGGAGTTGGCAGTCAGATCCCATCCCAGGGAGGCAGGGCCACAGGGAGCTGGAGCTCCTGTGACTGTTCCATTGTGTTATCAACTTTACGTAGAAAGTGCATGTTCAAAGATAGGATTATGAAGAACTTCCAGAGGGGACTTCAGGGAACTGGACCCAAAAATGGTCCATCAGGGCACAGGGTCCTATGTGACACACTGCTGGCCTGATTACCTGCTATCTCAGGCTTTTTCAGCTCTGACTACACACGAGTCACCTCAGGGGCATTAAAATTCTGAGTCCCAGGCCTTGCCCCCAACTCATAGAACCATATCAGGCATGGTCCCTGAATCCACACGTTAAAGCACCCCTCAGGCTCTCAGGGGTGTAGCAGGGTAGGGTGGGAGCCAGGGTGTCTCACAGGCTCCATGTGACCAGCCCTGCTCACGACCCAGTGAGAAAGCTCCTCCCATGCCGTCCTCAGACCTGAGCTTGTCCTGGAGAGTGGCAGAGAGCACAGGTCCACATCCAGGCTCTATCTCTCACTAACATTGCAGCACCGGGTGGGTCTCGGGTCTGAGTAGGATCCTAAACACACTCCTCTCCCAGGCCTGTTTGACTGTTAGATGAGATGCTACATGCAAATCTCTTAGCACAGTAACTAGCACAAGTTCCAGGCTCACCACCTTAGTTATTGTGGCCCCTGGTGCTACTGTCATTTTTTTCAGACGAAAAAGGGGAAATCTTACTTGGCTCTCAGAGACGTCTGTGTGGTCCTGCTGAGTGGGCAGTGTCTGCAGGTGAAATGCGATGTCAAGTCCACAGCAGTGGACTTTGATGCCATCACATCCTTTGCCAACCTGGGGAAGTCAGCTACTTTGGCTTGGCTTATGTGAAAGGTGGGTGTCTCTGGGGAGGCCACTGCTGCCTGGTAGTTCCAGCACCCCAGCTATCCAGTACCTGAGCCCTGTCCCTCTTGGAAAGCTGCTTGAGCCAAACACACACAGACATCAGATGGCATGGCGACGGCCTCAGGTGCTTGTGTAGAAAGTGCCAAATACGTGTGGATTTTCATAAAATAATGAATGTGGATGCTATGGGGTCTTATGGCTTTCAGGTACGGATGATCAGTCTCTGTGCATTGAAATCAGGCAGGCAAACATTAGAAATATTTCTGTTTAATCTGCAGGACTATGGCATTCAGAACACAATCCCAGGAGCCTGTAAGAACCTGTGGTAGTGGTTTGAGAGAAATGGTTTCTGTATTTCCTTCCTGTCTCTGTCTCCCTTTGCCCACATGGATCTGGCATGGGGAGTCCCATTTGGCAGCAAAGATGAGGGCAGAGGAGGTCTGGTCACTGTGAAAGGATGGCCATTAGAACTGTCTGGACACTTGCTTGTTCTCTAGTGAGCACATGCCCTGTGGAGAGAAGACCACTACCCCCAGAAGTCCCCACGGTATGGACTGGGCCAATTCCCATGCCTAGGCTGACTGTTGCAGTGCACCTGGGCTCAGAGAAAGGGGAAATGCTTCAAATGTGCAGTGGCACAGGCCAGGGTGTGGCCAAGGGTGCCCAGGTTTATGAGGGTTGAGACACTTTTGAAAGGGCAAAGGGGTGGGGGGTGCCTTCAGTGGCTGGGCTGATACCACCTCCCCCTCAGGAAGACTAGAGGACAAATCCAGTTGGAGTTGAAGGTTTAAGGTCAAAGGCAAATGCAACTCATTTACACCCAGTCTTTGTCAACCTGGGCTGCTATCACCAAATGTCCTAGCCTGGGTGGCCTAAACAATAGATATTCATTTCTCACAGCAGTGGGGGCTGGAAGTTTGAGATCAGGCTGCCAGCTGGTGCAGCTTCTGGTGAGGACCCACTGGCTTGAAGTTGGAAGCCTTCTCATGGGCCCTTGCCTGGCAGAGAGAGAGAGCTCTTTGGTGTCTCTCTTCCTTTGTATGAGGACTCAGATCCCATCCTGGACCTCACCTTCATATCTCACGTTCCCCGAAGGTCTTACTTCCATATCCCACCACTTTGGGGGGGCAGAGCTTCAGCATATGGATTCCAAGAGGACACAGATATTTGGTCCAGGGCATGCTGGGACTGTGGAAGTGGGAACCATCCCCCTGGTGTGGGAGAGCCTGTCACATGCCAGGGATGTAAGAACGCTGCTTTCCTTCACTTTTCATCTTATCTATGAAAGATGATTGCTGGAAAGCAGATATTAAATGACAGCTCTCTGACACAAACACAGTCATCCCTCAGTACCCACAGTGAATTGGTTCCAGGACCTTCCCAGGCACCAAAATGTGCAGGTGCTCAAATCTCTTACATAAAACGGCTTAGTGCTTGCATAGGAGCTATCCAACCCTCCCGCCCTTCTGCGCACTATAAACCATCTCCAGATTACTTATGCAAAGCAGATGCTATTTAAATCAGCATTAAACTATATTGTTTAGGGAGCCATGACAAGAGTGCACATGTTCAGAGCAGATGACATTTTGAGGTATGATTTTTGATCTGTGATTAGCTGAATCTGTGGATACAGAGCTGTGGACATGGAGCCCTGAGTGTGATCATATTTTCTCCTCTTGGTACCAAGTTTTCCTTCCTTGATATTCTTCCTCTACCTCCTGCTCTTGGCCTCTCATGGCCACAGCAAAGGCCCCCAGGGACCAGGTATAGAGGAGCTTCCTCCTCTACTTTCCTGCACTAACACGGCTCAATCTGACCCTTCTGGGTAGGACTCAGGGCTGGGGGCTACTCCTACGGCTTCTCCCTCCAAAGTCTCTACTTCCTTCTCAGGCAATGAGTTCTTTTTCCTGGACCGTGAAACCAGATTGTGTAAAATAGCTTCTGAAGACTGGAGGGAGCAGCCCCTGAAGACCTCCACTGACACCTTCACACTCTTTCTGCGGATCAAGTTCTTTGTCAGCCACTGTGGGCTACTTCAGTGAGTGCTGTTTCCTGTCCCCTGGCTCCTTGAGGCTTTTATGCCTGTCCAGGATGATGTCACAGCCTGTGCTCTGTAAATTACATGGAAATGGCAGCAGGAACCATGGCTGGTCTTCTGTCGGTGGGATTCCAGTACTACAGAACAAGGGGAAATCCGTTTCTCGAAGGAGGGTCTGATCAAATGAGAACATGCCCTTGTGTTTCAAACACAGCCTGGTCAAGGTCTCTCTTTTGCCCAGCATACCCCCTCCTCCCTCCATCATACAGCCAGAAGTCCAGGGATGGGGGTTGGAGTCAATCACCACCCCAGCATTCCTTTGCTTTGCTTCACTTCTGACCACACAGTGATTTCTCTGCTTGAGCCACAGCAGAAGACCTCTTTTGGGTGCTGTGTGAAGTGCGTGACACAGGGAAGCAAAAGGCAGTTGCCTGAGTGTGGGTGAACAAGGAGACCTCACTGGTCTTCCTGGCATTGTCCTTGGGGCTCCTTGGCTTATATTTCATCTTGTCTCCTTTCCCATTCCCCACAACGAGCAGGCCTCGGTGTTCGCATTTCCCCACCCTCGGCATTGGTGCCTCCATTCTAGCATTTCTTTGCCAGGCACAGCTCGACCCAGCATCAGTTCTACCTGCAGCTTCGTAAGGATGTTCTGGAGGAGAGACTGCACTGTGATGACGGGACACTGTTGCAGCTGGGTGTCCTTGCCCTGCAGGCTGAGTTTGGCAGTTACCCAAAGGAGGTAGGGAGGATACCTGGGGCTTTGGGGTGAGAGTCACCAGAGAAATCATGGTGGGTTAGGGGTGACTGAGAGTGATGTGGATATTGTGCTTTTGAGAAATGTTGCAGGCATCTACCACTGAGATTGAAGTAAACTGCATCTACTTATTTTTCACTTATCAGGCATCACCCATATACTTACCATCCTCCCGTCCTCCCATTCACTCATCACCCATAGGCTTATCTATCAATCCATGAAGCCATCGACCCATCCACTTATCTATCCCTCCATCTATATCCATCCATGCATCCATCCATCCAGCATGCATTAAGTGCTCTTTCCTAGGCCTGTGGATGATACAAAGATGAAAAAAAAATCCAGTTTACGCATTGTAAGATAGCTCTAGTCGAAGAGATTTCTGCTTGTATGTGTTACTACAGTGAAACACCTGATGCTGATAACTTACACAAAGAGATAATTTATTTATTTCACAGTTTTGGAAGTTCAGAGCCCAGGATTGGGCTGTTTTGCTGGTGTGGCCTCTGGTGATGGTAGTGGGTGTTGGCATATCATGGCAGTAGCATGTGTCCTTTGCCAAGCAGTAGGTCAAAGAAAGAGAAACCTAAATTCCAAGAGAATGTCCACAGTGACCTAATGACTTCCCACTAAGTCCTGCCTCCCAAAGTTTCCATTAGCTCTAAACAGGGCCACCTGGGAACATACCTTTTCATCACAGTGGACCCTTGAGGGGCATTTAGATCACACCCCACCATAACATTCCTAAAACAGTCATTATTTACTGAATGTTTATCCTCCTTCTCCTCCTCACCAATAGTAATAGCCAACCATTATCGTGCTATCACTGTATACCCACCATTGACCTAGACATTTCCCATAGTGTTAACAAACCCACCTCTCACAACAGCCTTGCAAAGTTGATACCATAACTCACATTTTCTAGAAGAAAAATCTGTAGCTCATGTGACTGGTAAGTGTAAATCTAAATTTGAGCTCAGGGGTATCTGATCCCAAGGCTGGTGCTGATTCTGTTAGGATGAACTTCTTCTCAAACAGTGGCTCAAATCTTTTGGCTAAGCCCTCACTATGGCAGCAGAACCATATGTGTTTCTATGATTGAACTGGCTGTGATAGTCTTCTGTTGGAGTCCATGACTCTATGAATGAACTGAGGCTCCTGGACTGGATGAGTGCAGCTGGGCTGGACCCACTCCCACTCCCCACTCTCCTAGGCTCATGGTGGCCCCTACAGACTGGAATTCACTTTATGCACTACCCCAGTCTGGGAAGGCAATATCCCCTAAAACTTGCCTGCAGCCTTAACCTCCTCCCTGCCACTTTCACATATCTCTAGCCCCATTGCTACCTACCTTGAAGTTCCTTCCTGTCCTCAGCTCTAGAGTTGGGCTCTTTGCCACCCTGGAGCATTTCCCCCAGGGCATTGGCTGAGGCATTTGAGGGCCTTGGGAGGAGGGTGCCCTAAGCTAGGAGAGCCCCTGTGAATCTTTCAATATCTTTGCTGCAGCCACTGGATCACTCACTTGTGCATGGCTAACATGGACGGGGTAGAGTGTCTTCCGAAGACACTTAATCCATCCTTAGCAGATTCAGGAACCCAGTGGAATGATCCTGGGTTTTGGAATCACTTATAATGGAATTCAAAGCCTGCCTTGGCTGGTTAGTAGCTACATGGCCTTGGGCCTCTTGTCTCTCTCAGCCTTGGCTTTTACACCTGCCAAAAGGAAAATAACAATCAGTTCCTTGCAAAGCTGCTATACGGGGGGAAGGGGACAATGCTTACCTGGTGCCTGGCATGAAGCAATTGTTATGTGCAAGTTTTCCTTCTCTCTCCCCCAAAGGTGGGAATACTCTAATATAAAACAATACAGCAGTGAACCTTCAGTGTATGAATTCAGATGTTTAGTCTAACTCTAGTCCCTAGAGCTTAGTGGGAATGTAGTCCAGGTCTCCTGAAGACAGCCAGGGAGCCTTAGTCATACCAACTCACTCAGGCCCAGAATTTCTCAATAGAGTCACTTTCTCCAGGGACCCAGATGCCCAGATTCAACTCTGTGTTCCTATGTTAGTCTCAGTTTTTCTGAGAAACAGAACCAATGGGGTATCTGTCCATCCACCTGCCTGTCCATCCATCCATCCAACCATCTAAAGAGTTATTATAAGGAATTGACTCATGTGGCTGTGGAGCCTAAGCAGTTTCCAGGTCTTTAGTGGGCAAAGTGGAGACCTAAGAGCGCAGATGTTATAGATGCAATGTGAGCTTGAAGGCAGGAGGAGACCCATGTGCTCAGTCTGTTTTATTCGGGCCTTTAACAGATTGTTTGGAGCTCACTGCTATGGCTTTAATGTATTTGCTCCAAAGTTCATGTTGAAACTTAGACCCTATCCTGTTGGTGCTGCGTCTGGTGCCTTTGAGGTGTGGTGAAATCATGAGAACTCTGCCCTCCCTCGTGCATGGATTAGTGCCTCTTAGAAAAGGGCTGGAGGGAACTAGCCTGCAGCCTTTCCCGTTTTGCTCCTCTGCCCTGAAGGGCACAGCAGTGAGCAGCCCTCTTGGAACCAGAGCACTCAGCAGACACTAACACCGGCACTCCAATTTTGGACTTCTCAGCTTCCAGGTCTGTGAGAAATTGTTTCTGGTTTAGGTGAGTCACCCAGTCTGTGGTATGTTGTTACAACAGTGTCAAAGGACAGAGACATCCACATTGGAGGGTACTATCTGCTTTACTCAGTCTACCAACTTGAATATTTTGATCTCACCCCAAATCACCCTAATGGAAACCCAGAATGCTTGACTAAATATCTGAGTAAACTGTGGTCCAGTCATATTAACACATTAAATTGACCATCACAATGCTTCACACTGGGACCCCTGTGGCTGTCCAGCTTTGGGTTGCCCTCACCCTTCCTCTTGGCCTCTGCTTGATCTTGTTCTCCACTTCCAGCTCCCCACCCAGATCCAGTCATGTCTCACACCTTAGTGCCCAGAGCATTTCCAGGATTCTCTCTGCTGCCCCCTGGTGACTCCTATAGGAAGACTTTTTTTTCTTGTGTGTGAACTCCACAGGTTACACCAACCCACCCCGACCTGTGCATCCACCCTCAGTCCCAATCTGTGAAAGGCCCAGTCCATGCATGGTACCGTCTAGTCCTTACATGAATCCTGAGTATCCAGGGATATTCCATTTGCAGCTGAGAACGTTGTGGCTCTGTAAAGTCAGAGAGCTGCTAAGAGCCCAGCCAGGATTCTCTTCTAGTGATTGCTTGGGTGTAGTCCTAGCAATGAGATGCCGGGTAAAAGGTCCTAAATGCTTTTTTACTCAAAATGTCTTAATAAGTTGTGTTTTTTAATAGTTTTACTTTCACAGAAAATTGGGTGAAAAATACAGAGATTTCCTCTACCCCCCACATCCTCCCCTATGGGCCCTATAAGCACCATAAATATCCCTCATTTCCTGCAGTTGATCATCCTGAACCTTCTCATCCATATCACCTGGAGCCCAATTTACTTGCTGACTTCACTCTGTGGCAGGCACTGTAGGGGCACGCCATGAGAGGAATGTGTTAGCTTTCCCTCACAATGACAAAAATACCTGAGATAACCAGTTTAAAAGGAGGCAGGGTTTATTAGGCTTATGTATGCAGAGGTTTTAGTCATGGTTGCTTGGCTCCATCACTTTGGCCTGTGGCATCCTGATGGGAGTGTGTGGTGGATGAGGCTGCTCGCCTCATGAGGTCAGGAAGCAGAGAGAGAGAGAGAGAGAGAGAGAGAGAGAGAGAGAGGGACGGAGGAAGGGGCTGGGTCCCAATATCCTCTTCAAGGCTACACCTCCAGGGACCCCACTTCCTCCCACTAGGTCCCACCTCCTACAAGGTCTGAGGTCTGATCAAAACAGATTTTGAATGCTTACATTTTTAAATAATTTATTACAGTAAAAGACAAATTGCCATTTAGCCCCCTCAAAATGCTCCTCCTCACTCCAAGCACACTTATCCCGCGGTTCTTGCCACTTTCTCAAACAGTTCTGGGAGTCCTCTCTCACGAGTGTCTTTATGAGGCTCGACAAAAAAAAAAAAAATACAGTGAATGCTGCTGCCATGTTCCATCCAGCAGGAAAGTAGGTTTGTAAGAACATCACGTGGTGTCCTCACCCATTTTACTCACTGGATCTGACACTGTGTGACTTCGACTTCTAGCTCTTCTTCAAAGTTGAAGTGAGCATGACAAGTAAATATTTTGCATTGATTCAGGACACTGAGGCAGCCACAACATTACAGCTCATGTCACTCATGAAAGAAGACTTCCAAACCTGCTTCAGAAAGAGCCAAGAATATGGGATAAGTGTGTTTGAGGTGAGAGAGAGCATTTTAAGGGGGACTCACAGCAATGTGTTTTTTACCATAATATCTTTTTTCAAGTCATTCACCATATATTTTGATCACACTTTTTATAGATTCTAGCCCCTCCTAGTAGCCCCACAGACCGGTGACCAAGCCTTCCACTCAAGTCCCAAATCATAGGTGGGCGGCCCCACAGCAGAGGACCCCTGTGTGTGTCTGCAGTGGACAGGAGGAGGAGGGAGCCCAGCCCGCCCAGTGTCTCACCCCAGCCTGCACCTGGCTGCTGTGGGGTGGTTGGCAGTGCCACCTGTCACATCTGGGAGGACTAATGTTCTCTTACGGGGCTTATATTTTGTTTGTTAAGTGGTCCTGGTGCTAGGGTTAAAAAGAGATTTGAAAGCAATTGTTAGGAAAGACTGATAGCCCCGAAGAATTTTAAGCAGGGAAGTAACATGATTACATTTGCATTTTAAGAAGGGAGACAAAAGCAATTTAGTATAAAAATAAGTCTCCTTAATCACATCATCATGGCAGAACAACTCTCCTCTGGGTGCGTTTTCTCTCATCCTAAATCATGGGATTTTTTCACAACTGTAAACCTTGCCATACTGGATTTGCATGCTGCCCTTCCCTTCCACATCATGCCCTCCACGGCCCTCCTGGCAATCATCTGGAGAGTCCGTGTCACTGGCTCCCAGGTCTGCATCATCTTCAGTTTCCTCATAGTCTGACTACAGGGCATTGACCTGACAGGGCCATATACGGTAATAATCGCTGTTATTATTGCCTCCAATCTTTCTCTTTTACAAATGATGTCCAAATAAGCATCCTGGTGCCTGCGGCTTTTCTAGTTGGATGTTCGCTTCTTCTCCTGGATATATTTCTAGCAATGCGATGTTGGGCCAAGGGTCCTAAATGCTTTTTTTCCCTAAATGTTTTAGCAGGTCTTATTTTTCCAGAGCATGTGATAATCATCATTCTATTGCTGTGACAAAGTGCCTGAGATGATCAACTTACAATGAGGAAAAATGTATTTTGGCTTCTGTTTTTAGTGGTTACAGTCCATGGTTGTTTGGCCCCATTGATCTGGGCCAGTGACAAGGCACAGCATCCTGGTGGGAGTGTGCGATGGAGCAAAGCTATAAAGAAAAAGAGAGGAAGAAACCCAATATACCTTCCAGGGACACTCCCAGTGATCTAACTTCCTTTCACTGGTCACCACCTCCCAGAAGTGTTATAGGCCTGCGATCAAACCTTTAACAGGTGGGCTCGTGGGGGATCATTTAAGATCCAAACCTTAACAGAAAGTTCTAGGGTCAGAGGCAGTGGAAGGTGCACAATTTCCCATATTCCCCAGCCCTACATATACACACCCCACACTATGCTAGAAACATCCTGCTCCAGAATATATACTTGTTACTACTGGAGACGCTACAATGACCCATCATTAGCACCCAGAGTCCACATTTTCACTGGTCTCACTCTTGCTGTTACACATTTTATGGGGTTACGAAATGTATGAAAGGCACATATGCACCATTGTGCATGTGGAGTAGGTTCAGCACCCTAGAAATCCTCTGTTGTCTGCTTCTTCATCCCTCTGTTCCCCTAAACCCTGGTAACCATTGAATTTTCATACAGAATGTCATACAATTGGAACCAAGCAGCATGTAGCCCTTTGAGACTGGCTTCTTTCATTTAGCAATTTGCATTTAGGCTTCTTCATGGCTTGCAAGCTCATTTCTCTTTGAGCTCAGTAGTAGTCCATTGTCTGTATGCACCACCATTTGTTATCCACTCACCCACTGGAGGACAGCTTTGCCCCCAACTTTTGGCAATTATGAATAAAGCTGCCAAAAACTTCCATGTGAAGGGATTTTCTTTCTTTTTTCCTTTTTTGGGGGGCTGGGGGTCAAACCCCAGACCTTATGCATGCTACACAAATGCTCTATGGCTGAGCTACACCTCCAGCCCCAGGTGGAATTTTCTGTGGACATAAGTCTTTGCTTCTTTGAGGTAAATGCCTAGGGCACAATTGCTGGACCCTACGGTAAGAGTATATTCAGTTTTGTAAGAAACGACCACACTGTCTCCCAAAGTTGCTGTAATTCTGCAGTCCCACCAGCAGCAAATGAGTTCCTCTTGTTCCACATCCCCACCAGCGCTCAGTGGTGTCCATGTGCTGGACTGGACATTCCACTAACACTTTGAATGCTTTTTTATGCACCCGATTGCTGAGAAGTTTCACTGCCCCTTTGCCTCGGAGCTGGAATGGGCCAGAATCAAGCTGGAGCATAGTGGGAAAGTGGTGGACACTGTGCTGTCACCTTCGGGTCCCCTTCCAGGCTGACTCACCCACCCCTGCCTGGAGAGGGCCAGATTCTCCCAGCTCCCTGTTGCCTTGTTCATGGGCAGCTGCCCTCAAAGCTGGGGGTCAGGGCTTGGCATGGGGATGCTAGCAGGACACCAGACCAGAACAGGCTGATTCAGGAACACAAAGGCAAGCTCAGCTTCTCCTTTGCCCTGTCCTGCCATCCTTATTCTTTATGGTGGGCCTGAGACCACTCCTCCAGGAACCCAGCATGCTCTCTCTGTGTTCAGGGTGCCTGCTATGAGGCAGTGGGTGATGATGATCTTCCAGCCTCTCCCAGGGGTGCTGCAGTCTCTGCCCCTAAAGAGCATAATGAAGGCTGAGGCATGGGATGGCACAGAGGGGATCTGGGTTCCCGTTCCTAAACTCCTTGGGCAGAGATGTGGCACAGCTGAGCCTTCTCTGGTAAGAGGAACATGTACCAGAGCATGTGTGGCCAGAGATGCTAAGTTAATAACAAGGAACAAAGGGTTGGGGCCAGGGTTTTGCTGTGCTTTTTGGGAAATGGTGTGCCACTGTGGAACTGCGTGGGGGTTTGGGGTGAACAAAACTTGTTTCTTTCACTTGGAGGTTGTGTAACCTTTATCTTCCCTGCTTGTTTATCTTGGCAGTGGCAATGATACTGCCTGTCTCCCAGGATCATGGTGAGGATCCAAAGAGCCTGAGGTTTCTAAGGGCCACCGAGTGCACAGAGGGGGCCTAGAACCAGGTGGCTCCTTTCTTCTCTCCATTTTATGCATGGCACAGGGCTTGGGTAAGAGGTGCTGTCCCAGGTGGGCACCTGGAAGAACCTTGCTTGCACAGGGACCGGGATGGGATCCTGGCTGCAGACCTGTTCCTGTACTACTTGGAACCCCTGGTGGCACTGACTTATGCTTCTTTCCTCTGCACTCTGTTTCCAGCAGGCAGAGAAGAAGCCATATTTTCGAGTTGAAGATTATATCCCTGCCACTCTTATCACAAGGATGACCACTCTCCGAGTCCAAGTAGAAGTCTCAGAGATGCACCGGCTCAGTACTGCCCTGTGGGGAAAGGGTGCAGAGCTGGAGTTCTTGAGGGTAAGGCCTGTTGGGCCTTGAGAGGTGCTGGTGCTCAAGGGATGTAGTCAGTGATGCCCCCTGGCCCTGCTCTGGGGTCCAGATGGGTTGGGACCTTGAGCAGCAGAAGGAAGGAAGCTACCTTCAGCCCAAGGGGCGAGAGAGAGAGTGGAAGCAGATGGCATTAGAAATGACCTTTTATTGGTCAGCTTTCCCTTTGCTGGGACAAAATGCCTGGTGTATACAACTTGAAGGAGGAAATGATTTATTTGGCTAGTAATTTCAGAGGTTCAGTTCATGGTTGGCTGGTTCCAAGGCAGGAACATCATGGCTGAAGAGAATGGTGGAGGAGGATGCTCACTTCATGGTGGCTGAGAAATAAGCGTCCAGGTGAAAAGTGTTACAAGGGGTACACCTTTCCTGGGTATCCACCTCATGATCCACCTCTTCCAATGCGGCCCTGCTTTCAAGTAATACATTCAGCTGTATGAATCTGCTCTAGGAATCTCTTACTGCAGTCAAATTGATAATTAAGCTTAACTGGCACAGGCCCCACAGAAGGGTATGATTCAGTGGGCTAGGGTGGGTGCCTGGAGCCTTGCTTCAACCTTAGAGCATCATCGCAGTCACTGTTCTGTAGCAAGAACCACATTTCTCGGACAACACATAAGTCAGAACTGAGTGTGAACCAATCCAAGCCATTGGGAAACCCACAGTGGGTGTCTTCTGGCAGCTGTTCCAAGAACAGCATGGGGATTTGTATCTGTGCACAGCGGAGCCTCTCTGTTCCATTCTTTGTTCACCCCTACAGCAGAAGCACTTCCATGTCCCCTGTTCATGGGCACCAGAATGATGAGCACCTGAGCTCACTTGCCAACCTCTCCTGGCTGTGGGGCTGGCCCGGCAGGGAAAAAATGAGAAGCACATGTTCCCTACTCCTTGTGAGTCCCAATCTCAGGATGACAGTCAGGGCTGTGTTATGTGCTCAGCAGTAACAAGGACAACACTAGCTGGTCTAGGTGTGACAGAGGCAATGTGATTGCTCTGCCTTGCAGACACAGCTGGGGAATGAGTGAAAGGGGTCCCTGGATCTCACAGGAGAGGATATATGGGTAGGCCTTCAGATCTGGGGAGCAGTTTTTAAAAGAAAGTTCAGAGATCTACACATTTCTCTATATACAAGCTGCCCATGTTTTCTTGCCTTTAATAGAGAAGAGCATTTGGAGACAGAGTTAGCTGAGTGAGGCCTGGCCTTTTCCTTTTGGCTGGTCACTTAGCAGAATCGTCCCAGCCCTAGCATGGGGCCAACCTGTAGGTGCATCATGGGAGAGGCAGGAACAGACGCACCTTCACTGCACACAGTAGCGCAGCCTCCATGTGTACTCCTTGTCAAGAGGACATAGCATTTCTTTGATGGGGGACAGAGGGGACTTTAAAGCCTTCCATACAATTGAGCCTGGCAGCCAAGGATCCTGTAGGAGATTCTCACCAGGGCAATGGGACCCTGTTCACGGGCCTCTTCCATTGCTTGCCTTGTATGTCGGGCTCTGTTGGTGCCCCTCCTCCCCTGATAGAATGGGGAAAGGTGATAGGAAAAGCAGCCACCATTTTGGGGGCAAAACTACAGAAATCTTTCTCCTTCCAGTCCTCCATGGAGAGCGCAGAATGGATTTGATCCACTTGTGTGCTGTGTCCATAAGTGTCAAAGGACACTCTGGCTTTTGCATCCCCCTTGGTGGCCTGGGTGGAGTGGCTGATGCTGTCACTGCCTGCCCTGGGTGCAGAATGAGCTGGAGAGAGCTATTAGCCTGAGACCCTTCTTAGGGTGCAGGTTTGTTAAGCAACATCCCTTCTCTCTCTAATTATAAAAGTTAACATTTCCTCCTCTGTCTGCCCAGTGGAGTCAGCACACTTGTGTTTTGGTGCATTCACCCTGCTCTTTGTTCTTCTCTTTCTTATGTCTATGTATCTGCATACATATTTAAGGGTGGACTTATATTACGCATGCACTTATATATCACTAAAACTTGAAAACTAATTTTGAAGCAAAATGTATCAGATTAAAACTCTCCTCCCCATCAAATATATATTCATTGTACACAAAATCTGTATACATACATCTAATATATATGAAATACACACAAAATCTTTATGTATACACCTAATACCTATTTTCCATCAATGCTCTATTATTTGACATGCAAATTGCCTGCAGTGTGGAGCTATTATAAATAATACTGAGAGATTACCATTTTCCAGTGTGAATGGTTAGCTGTATTTCTGCTTAATTTGTTAAGGGTCGGACCTCCTAGGTGGAATTACTAGTTGAAGGTAACAAGCAGTTTAAAGTTTGTTGCAACATACAGTATTAAGAATTTACTCCACAAATAGCCACTGGCTTATTTAATTATATCTCTGTGTGGATCTTCTATTTCATTTTGAAAAAAAAGGAGCCCATTAACTGGTGGCAGCCTGCTGGCCAAGTCACAGGTCCCTTAGCTCTACCCATGCATTACCTTGCTCTGGCACAGACTGGGCAGCAGCCCAGGTAAGGCTGAGTGCCAACCTGTCTGGAAGCTACCCGACCATGTGAATCCAGAACAGCCTGTTCAACGTTAACTCACTGTTTTCCAGACTTCCTCAACCACAGAAGTGTTTTCCCATAGGACTCAAATTGTGATGTGTTATTAAATCATTTTTTTCTGTTTGGCTGTTGAAATTGTACTGGTTGCATCCTGTTTAGCATTATAACATTCTCTAGACAATTTTGCAAGTGCTTTGTATATATGCCCTGTGACAGCAGCCTGAGAGTCTACATTATTAAGGTTCTATTGTCTTTAGGAAATCATTTACTACAGAGGAAGTCATCTCCCCACTCGACCTCTGCAAGTCTGCACTGAGTCTGCACTGAATAGGATTAGGAGAAGGATTTGTCCTGATTATTTAGCATGCTTTCTTAAGACAGATTCTCAGAAGTGGAATTGGAAGGTGAAGGCTATGAATTACGAATCTCTTGGTGAATATCATTGTATTATCCAACTTTCCTGTTGCTAGGCACAACACCCAACCTCCACAAGTTACAGGAGGAGAGGTTTAGTTTGGCTCACACTTTAAGAGGATTCAGTGCAGGGTCAGCTGGCTCCATGGGAGGAACATCATGGCAGAAGGGTGTGGTGGAAGAAAGCATACTCATTTTATGAGAACTGGCTGTTCCTCAAGTCATGAAGATTGCTCCAGAGCCACAAAACTAGGAATGAGATAAGAAGCCACTGGACTCGGCCCCAGGCTACCTCAGCCCTCCATCAGTCTGCTCGGTTCTTTTGTGAATGGGCTAATCTGATCCTCTTCCTCAGAGTGGTGCCTTCAGGTACTCAAGGTAGAGTCCTTTTTTTATCTTCCTTCAATATCCAATTAAATTGTTTGCCAAAAAATTTGTAGTGTTGCTTTGGTTGTAATTTCCATTATCACAAATAATGGTGACACTTTGAGAGGAAACCAGCAACAGCCAGGCCGGATGACTAGGGAAGGCAACTGTGGAAGCCCTACTGGGAACATAAAGTGGAAACAGACATTGTTATTTCATTTTTTTACAGATCCAAGACACCCTTGACAACATTATGCACATCCACCAGTCTGGGTACACTGTATTTTAGTTGGTGAGAGCGAAGACTCAGGAGCAAACAGACTCATGTGTTCGTGTTTCCACTCCTGGCTCCAAAATGGGAACTTGGGCAGGTTCCTTAGGTCAGAAAAATTTGTCTCTCAGACATATTCAGTGGAAGAATTTGTCTCTAGGTAGTTATACTAAAGCATACTGAAACCAAATGTCTAAACATTGTATTCATTAACAAGACATTGTTCTAGGTGCCTGAGGTGATCCCCCAAAGAGGAGATGGGAACCTTAACTCCCATCCTACCCATGAAGCAAGTTGTAGGGTCACTGACTTCCATCATGAGTGTCTTAGTTTTTCTTCTCATTGCCAAGACAAAATAACCAACACCCAAAGTTAAAGGAGGAAAGGATTATTTATCTCAGTTTATGGAGGTTTCAGTTCATAGTTGGCTGCCTCCAAGGCAGGGTGGCATGGCAGATGGGCACTGCAGCAGAGAAACTGTTCATGGCAGGCAGAAGGCAGCAAAGCAAGCAAGGGACCTTAGCAGCATTTTTCTTCCCCCTTTAGATACTGTCTAGGCTCCTGGGATTGGAGTGGTGCCAAACCAATCATTGGACTGATTTAGTAATCACCCATCCTTAATCTTAGCATTGCACCATGCATCCAGTCACACACTCTAGATCCAGCCACCTCTGAAAAAGCCCCACCTATGACTGCATAATGCTTTGAGGGAACATCTAGACACAAGCCATAACAATGGGAAAGCATTTTGGGATCTGTCTGCAAAAAGGCATAGATAGGGTTATTAGGCAGAATTAAAGGTGTACATGGCAGGGAGTGTGTGGGTTTTCAAGGTAGGAGAGGACTCATGGTCTGGGGCTGACTCTGGTTATGTGTTCTTGGGGAGGAAATGTGGGGAAATTGTGAATCTAATAGTAAAGGGAGAAAATCTCTAGGCCTAAATTTACAGGTCAAAGGCAATGGTCCATTCTGTAGACAAAAGGCCTCTTTTACAGGAGAAGGGTACAGGCCCCATCTTTTGTATTTTTTGAAAAAGATTAGGGATTTGAAATTGAAATTGAGTATTCTGGAAAGGAAAAATAAATTGTTACCTTGAGTAACTAACTGTGTCCTGAAGCTGTGGTCTTTACAATTTTAAAATTATAATTTTCCTTGTCTCCTTTCTGCCTAACTTTATTTCTTCTGTCCTACCTCATTCTGATACATGCAGTAAAAGGGAAATTAAAGTATTATTTTGAAAATGAATTGTGCCACATAAATTTGGCTCACTATAATATAACATCGATACCATTTCCCTCTCATGGTCCTGTACTTTGCTTTACAGTTGTTCCAATAGGAGTCAATGTTTTGGACACCCACGCTACTGGAAGTGACATGAAATAGAAGTTGGCATCATTAGGGGTAACACGAGCATGCTGGAAACCAGAGGTGGATGTTGTTATCCACAGCTAGAGTCCTGGTGAAGGGTAGAGTCAGGCAGAACTGTGCAGTGCAAAATAGGCAGGAAAGTTTGGGCAGAGCAGACACTAGTAATTTCCAAAATACCAGTAGCGGTTTGAGGGTATTATAGATACTAAGACCCTTATTTTTCTCTTCAGAAAGTGGCTGCGAACTTAGGACTGCGGACAGGACTTAGTCCTGTGACTAAACAGGACTCATCCACTTGCAAGTAATGACCCAGAGCTGTACAACACTGAGCTGTGCAGGTGTAGTGCAAAAATGGACTTGTAGACTTGGCAACGGTAACTGTAGGTGGGATTACAGGCATGTGCTACTACGCCCAGTTTACAGTCATCATTGGGATCTTGTACCTTTACATGACTTATTTTGGTTCTTATTTCTTTCCCCATTCCCCAGCTCTCCCTTCACCCCCTCCACCCTTCCCTGTTTACAAAGGCGCTGTTTTCATGTTTTTCCTTTTCTCTTATGATTATTGTGAAGACTAAATAATAATGAAATAATTCATGGGAAATGCTTACAGAATGTATAATCAGTTTGACTTTTGGGATTCCCCTGGAATTGAAGTATCATATCCCTTTTGCTATAATTAAAAAATAAAAAGAGCTGGGGATTTAGCTCAGTGGTTCTGCTGCCTGCTTTGCAAACACAAAGGACCCAAGTTTGATCCCCGGTACCAAAAAAAAAAAAAAAAAAAACCCACAAAAAAA